ATGAATGTGAAAACGTCCTTCTAATGTCAAACTCTGCACAGACATAGACATTATGATCGAAGTCAACAAAATCTCGGATATTTAATTCCCAGCAAGTAATTTGCTGATAACAGATATATTGAATGTTTCACCAAAAATAGTAGCGCGCTTTCATGCCGCGGGGCGTACTCATGCTGGCCTTAGGTGTTGCATGGTATTACCCGTTCGCCAGTACTCGGCCTGCTATCAATGTTTCCAGTATCATCCCTCCTACCAGCATCAGAACAGATTCAGCTTTTCGATTTGTTGCCCGCTTTCTGTTCTTTCTCACTGACCGTCTCCACTTGTATTGGCGCACTCTTTATAGTGTGTTTTGTGTGATTGTGTGTGTGTTGTGATTGGTGTATGTGGTAGTGTGTGATTCTTTAATTTACAGGTCTCTCAGACGTCTTTGACTTATCTAGTCATTTGACCTTGAACTTGTATCCGTGTTTTGTCTCCATAGTGATTTAGATATGATAAACGAAATTACTGCAATTTAAAGGTAACATCAGTTTGACTTCATAGTAATGGTCCGAATATTACTATTATGCACGGTTCACTGATTGGAGAGCACGTGGATGGTCAGGACAGCAGCAGGCTTGAGACAATCTCATACTCTGGTATTCTTTATTGGTAGTCCTGATCTCCTTTACATTACAAAGCGGACCCCATGCATAAAGCATCCGGTTTGCATGCTCTGTAATGTTCACCGCCTGCACGCATGATTTGAGTGCGGGGGGAATGCATAAGTTATTAGCTTGTTGTTTTTTCATACGACTTTTAGGTCCACTCAAGGTGTGATAAACCTGCTTGATCTGTTAACGCTGCTTTGGCATTTATCAATGTTCAAACTCAAGGATTGCAGTCGTTCACATTGCATTTCAACCGGGTTTGAAACAGTCAGAGTCTTTCCAGACGGACAACTGCCGCTCGTGTCATTGTTTAGTTTTGCAAACATCTGTGGTGAGAGCTGGAGCTTAAGCAGAGCTCGTACTGCCTGCAGGAAAGATTTCAGTCGTGTCAGTCAGTGTTTTAACCTCAGCTCATATAACAAGGAGTGATCCTTCAAATTAGAGCTCGGTGTTGAGGAATGTAATGGCTAGCCCAATCTCATGATCCATGCTGTCCAGTGCTCACAACCTGGGTTTGGTTTCAGAAGATTAACAGTCGTATTTTTGTGCTTTTCCAGTGCGGTAATAGATATGTAATATTAATTCTTGTGTACTGAATAATATTCAGACATGAAACCAGGAATTTGCCATCATGATACAGGCTCTGAGTCCTGATAATATTGATCATGTTAGTTCAGACCTCCTTGTTCAGCTGCACTGCAGTTTTATTAATTATCATACAAGAGATACTAGTTTTTCTGCGTTGTTTAAACCAGCAGAAATAGATAAAAACACCTCGCAACTTAAGAAAACTTTTTGCTGAGCACTTTGCTATGAAGCTTCATGCAAAATATATAAATACTGAGGGTGTAAACTATTTTAACGAATACAAACTCGGTATCCACTCTAACGTACTTGATTGCCTGCAAGAATGAGCGAGTTGGTAAAGTCTGATGAAACAAGCAGAAGATACTATACCGCGAG